AAAAGTGTCTTTCACATATTTAGATTAATCTGTAAACTGGGAGAAAAATTTTGAGATCAGTCGGCTCATGTGCATTTCACATCACTAGAACATCATCTATAAAAATCTCGCATATTCTGAATTCGAAAGGCTAGGTCATATCACTACGTAACGAAAATGATCTATTTTCTCTCTACGTTTGAACTATTTTCTCTTGAAATTGATGCGTTTTCTCCTTGAAACTGGCCTATTTTCTCCCTCAGTCTGCACTTTTTTCTCTTTGCATCTGGCCATTTTCTCTTTGGGTCTAAACTGCTTTCTCTTTGGATCTGAACCATTTTCTCTTTGAGTCTGAACTACTTTCTCTTCAAATTTGAACTATTTTATTTTGAAATTGATTCATTTTCTCTTTGAGACTGGTCTATTTTCTCTTTGGAGCTGGATCGTTTTCTCCTTGAAACTGGCCTGTTTTTTCTCTGAGTTTGAACTATTTTCTCTAGAAATTTATTCATTTTCTCTTCGAACCTGTGCTATTTTCTCCTTGAAACTAGCCTGTTTTTCTCAGGGTTTGAGCGACTTTTGCTTTGAATCTGAACTTTTTCCTCCAAACTGATGAGTAGAAATTTCAAACTACTCGTAAAGAAAATTTTTAGGGAGAAAGCTGGAATGCGAGAAAAAATTTAGAGGGGGGAAATCCCTCCTCTTCCCTCCCTAATCGTATGCGCTGGGAAACGCATTGCTTACTGACGATTTTTCATGTCATCCGTGTCTCTAGTAAAATGAGTCTAGTTTCACAAGAACTCGATGAATGTTAATAAAATCTTTATCAGAGATAGCCAATGTATAGGGTTTTAAAATGACGAAAGCTCGAGCTTAAAAGATTTCGTTGTTGTCGAGTTATAGATTCTACAATGATCATTGATAGTTTGGCTAATAACTTTCTTGTGACTCATTCTTTCGGGACGGAAGTTTCACCGCTGATCTGCATTTATTGAAAATTATATAAACTGCAATTTTCAGTGCCACAGCTCGCATAGTAGCTGAGATTCGAGAGGGATAGTTTTGATCAGTAGTGTATTTTAACAGAAAGCTTTTTTCGTTAAAAATTTATCTCTTTTGTAAAAAGTTATTTTTTTTCTAAAAGAATAATTTTTTTATAAAAAGGATACGTTTTTTTTCCAAAAGAATAATTTTTATTAAAACATTTTTGTTTGAAAAAAGTGGTTTTTTTCATAAGAATGACTTTTGTCCTAGAAAACTTTTTTCTCGGAAAAAAAAGAACTTGAAATTCCGAAAAAACTATTCCAGATTCGGATTCCTCGACCCCAATTCCCTTTGGTCGAACTTTATAAAAATTGTTATTTTGGAAAAAACCTTTCCATGATGAGAAAAATGAAATTCAAAACTTTGCGAAACCGATTAGAGATTCAGATTCCTCGACCTCGATTACCTGTGGTCAAACGTTATAAAAAAAAACTGATAATTTTTAGGACGTTGCCTTTCACTTGACGAACTCGGAAAGTTTCTGTTAAGGTAAATGGAACATATCTCGCGTTCCCGTTCCTAGGAACAGAACGCAAAGGTAACACCCCTAGTATTCATAACTCATTAAAACCTACATGATGCACATAGTTCCGACTCAAAAGCGATTTGACACTGAGAAGCGTTCCCTTGTAAGACATATCGATCAGTGTCGAATGTTTTGGTGTAAATATGTGCACTAAGACTATGTTCAAAATTCGATATCTATGACATATTGGTAAACAATGGTATATTCTAAAATCTTAATTGTTACTAACAAAATAAGAAATTAATGTTGATATATACCAAGAGATTATTAGTATTTTTATTTATAGTTGAAAGTTACTTTAATGATCATTAGTATAAACTATTGTTGGGTTTAATTGATGGCAATATAGTTGTTTTATTTTAAGTACATAGATTCCATAGAAATGCTATGCTTCTTACTTGTGCTGATTTCTTTTTCTTTTTCTTTTGCTTTAGATTTATATCATCGATGAAGAGAATCAATTTCACCTAAGAGAACGGAAGAGAAAGAAACCAAAAAAAACTTACTTTTTAGTGTTGCGAAAGAAGAAAAAAATCGGTGACCAAAGTGAACATAACTACTATATTTATTTATGCTTCCTCTTCACAATAAGTTGTAAGAAAAGAGGAAAAACTCCCGTTCATGAGTAAGCTTATTTTCTATTTAATGAAATTCTCTATGGAAACAATTCAAGGTAGAAATATGATCAATTTTTTATTATATGTTTTGAAAATAGATGTTCAACGTTTTTAGTTCATTGATTTTATGATATACATTTTTTTTTATGTGTTTTCATGTATTCGAAAGAATATTATGGGCTCTTCAGGCATATTTCAACCATTAGAAACCTATTGAAATTCTGATTACTTGAAGAAATGAAACATATCCGAAGTATACTTTTGAGTGCTTCAGTAGAAGCAAACCTAGCATAATAATAGTTTTGAATGCTGAGTCTAATTTTGATTATGTAAAACTTCTGCCAAAAATGTGTTTTTTCAGATATCTCTTACTTTTATTCAACAATCTTAGCAGAATTATTTATGTTTGACAGATATTTCATCTTAATTTCATAATTTTCTAAGCAATATTTATGACATCAACTGATGAAAACTAGATCGAAATGTGTCGACATTCTTGACGAAGACACAATCATAAAGAATTTTCGCATTTAGAATCATTTAAAATTTCTAAATATTGATTTCATACTTAAACACACAAATTAATTGATTATTAGATGTCATATTTATCAAATAAACTCTTTGAATAGCATCTGAAACACAAGCAAATTTATTCCTTTGCCTAGAGGTGTGCAAAGGTTCTTTTTTCTTAAATACAAAAAAATTTTATTTTTTTATTTTTTAAAATCATATTAGTAGTAAGTATTATCTTTTTATCAATGGAAAAGATGACTTTCATAGAAGAATAATAGTTTATATTTAGTTTAGATGTTCGACGAAACTGAATCGTGAGTATCCATGTTCGTATCTCTTTCTCTGTATACATTCGATCGATTTCGACAACTTGAGAATGAGGCATCTATCGGACTAATTCTTTTTTTTTTGACCAAGCTTTGATTCTTTTGGACACAATCATTCATATGCCTGAAAACTGAGCGTCGAAATGACCTAATGGCGAGTCCTCGATCTATTGGAAAGTGTCAACCAGTGGGCTCTCTATAGAGTTTCGATGTCCATCGAAGCTGAAATCGACGCATTGAAATGTCTATCGAATGACCAATTAGACTAGAAGTAAAATTTTATTTTTCTATACAATTCTTTAATATGAAAAAGCATGAGCCTCATTCACGATTCGCTTATTAACCACGAACATTTATAAAATCTAGCCATATACTAACTCATATGTTGCTAAGAATGATCTCTTTTCTTTCATTTATTTTTCTCTTTTTTTTTCCATCGCCTTGCTGGTATATGCTGACAAAGCGATTGAAGACTAGAGATCATCCTTAGCAACACATGAGTTAGTATGTGTCCATTTTTCATACATGTTTGTAGCCAACAAGTAAATCGTGAATAAGTTTCATTGATGAAAAACTAATGTCTTTTATTTGTAGAATTAATATGGATAGATTAAGTTATCAGTTTGTGATTCAACAAGTGAACAATGTCATTTAGTTTTTTAGTTTATATATAAGAATAGAAAATGTTTTTCATTAGAACCAGAATAATTATGGAAACATAATTTTTGGTTAGTAAAATCAATGAAATGGTCTGTAATAAAATATACATTTGGTCAGTAGAAATATTGAAATGGACAATACTAAATTAGTTAGTAAAAGCGCTGATTTTATCAGCAGAGAAAATAAGTTTTATTTGTAAAAAGATTAATCTAGTATAAAAAACAATAAATTTAGATAAACAGAAAAACCACAGAATAAAAAGAGGACTATCGGGACTTATTTTTTTGGGATACATTGGATCAGATCTACACTCGGACACTAAAGCGAACCATAGTCTTAATATCCTCAATAAAATATTATCATCCGAATTTGATATTCCCTACAAAGATACGAAGTTCTTTTTATCGATTACTTGTATTCCAGAATCTACACATCCTACCCATTTTCCAGGTCACCTTGACGTCGATCTTATAATCATCAAGTTATATAATAGGCTCTTATGGTTAGTTAGAGCCCGCCAGATTCAAAATTTCTGGACCTTCAACAGATCCAAATCTGGTTCGATCTGAGACTGACCCCACAGGCTTTAGAAGAATGCCTGTGCAACATCGAAAGAAAAGAACATTAGACAAATACTTAAATATGCACAAGTGATAGAAGTAAAGAATGTATATAGGTGTATCGTATTTGTCGTTTGTACGACATAGTGGAAGGAAAGAAAGAAGAAAAAGTAAATCATTCTATAATACATTTCGATTTTTATAGTTATCCTTTAATTTAATTTACTAATTTTTAAATATATTGACAAACCTAATTGTTTTAATAATTGACCATTTTAAATTAAATACTGATCATTCATTTAGTTTACTGATTTTATAATTATTTCATTTATTCTGCTGACCGCTTAAAATGATAGCCAATAATTCTTCTTTTTTTCTTTGCAAAGTTTATTTTTATCAGAAGAAAAATGTCATTTATATGCGATTTAATGAAAAACAATAACTATATGAGATAGACTAGTCTGAAAAGAATCTAAATGGATAGAACTAAAGAATAAATCCAAGTGTTCTTTTTCTCTTATTGAAGAAAGATTTTGTGTGATTGACAGAAGCTCAATAACTTTTTTTTCTTACTTGTAAAAATATGAATGTTCTTTATCGATTTCATAAACTCAACACTGTCAATGATTGACAAAATTTTACATTTTTGTTCTCTTTCATATTAACACGTCTTGAATAAATTTACAGAAAAAATGAGCTGAATAAATATTTGTCATCTTTTGAAATATGAGTAAAGAATTTTTTATAGATTCTTTCCTAATGTATCATCGACCGAATGAAATACATTTCAATAGTATTGTATAAACGAAGCACAAGTTTAATTGCAGCTTTTATTGTATTAATTCTATTGGGTATTATTCGATGGTTTTTTGATGGATCAGCAATATCTAATGAAACTACATCTTATTCATCATCTTCTCCTTTATTAATTAATGCTAAGAATAAAAATCAAAGTATTTTCTATCGTCGACAAACATGTTCATGTACACGACCTATTCTTGCATATAAATCTAATCTTATAATTATTGATGAGACATCTTCATCTCTCTGTAGTCAATATTCAACATTTCGTGGTTTTCATCAACGTATTATTGCTATTAGTATGTATGGTCCAAAAGAGAATGCATTGTTTGGTTTCAATGTATCATTAAATTTTCTATATGACCTTATTGATGATATGAAAAAGATATATCCGGGTTGGATTTTACGAATATATCATGATACATCAATTAAAGAAGATATTATTTGTCCTATAGAATGTGCTCATAATAATGTTGATTTTTGTAATACAAGTTCATTGAGTAATTTAGGCAGTGTAAATGATTATATACCACCAAAAATTTGGCGTTTTTTACCAGCTGGAGATCTACTTGTTGATATAATGGGTAGTCGTGATCTTGATTCACCATTATCACAACGTGAATTAGATGCTGTTAATGAATGGTTATCAACAGATAAAGCATGGCATGCAATGCGTGATCACCCATTTCATGGTGTTCCAATGCTTGGTATGAATTTCAATAATTATAAAATTAGATTAGGAAAATTGAGCAATAATATACAAGAATATAATTTTTCAATGTGATATACTTGGAGAGTATATTAGAAGTAGTGAGATTTCGGTTGATAAAATCCCATATCAAAACAGTTAATCAAGTATTTTAGTTAGTAGTCATGCTCAATCAATTTGTTGAAGCTATTTTTCGAATAATCTTTGATTGAAAAAAAAATTCATCATCTCGCTGACGGCACTTCATGTAGTGATTAGAAGATATAAAATAATTATGATATGTTCTGATGTGGGATAGTAAAAGTATCATTATGGAAATATAGTTGGATGTTGTCCTAATGACTTTCGTTGTATTGAGCACTAGCCAATGATTTGTGTCTTCTGATTTCATTAATAAATAGTTTTGGGAAATTATTAATATAGTATATATTGGTGATTAGAGAAATTTTTCTTCTTTTCATATTTTTGGCAATTTTTTAAACAATATTTGACTAGTTGTTTTTAGACAAGACAAGAAACGAAACATTGTTTTGAAACTAAATTACTACGCCAAACTGTAGCTGATGGAGATTATTCGATTGTAGTTTTTCTAGTTTGAGGAATCTCAAACGATTTATGTATGACATATCGAGAGTTTGTCATCGATTATTACTTCATATAGTCTCTGTATTTCTTTAATCAGTTATGTCCAACAAAATTTGACTGATCGAAATAGTTGTTAATCACTGTATTGAGTACTTTAACCGAGACGATGGATTTTTTTAATCAAAAATTATTTGAAAAATAGCTGCAATAAATGTTTTCAAACAAATCGATTATGTATAAATAAGCATGACTACTACTTCGAATATTTGCTAGAACAAAAACTCGATTAACTCTTTCTTATCGAGCTGTTATTTGCTAAAATCAAATGCTTTTAATATACCCTAAGTACATAAGTTTTGAAAAGGGAAACCAACATTATTTTAACATGATATAATGTTAAAATCAAATTTATACATAGTAAAAATACATGTTGATTAAATCACTTTTTTTCATAAATAAATTTCCTTTTGAATTCATTTATATTGTTCTAGGTGGTATGTGGGGTTTTCGTCCAGTACTTAATCGAACAATGGCTAGTATATTTCTAAATAAAATATTAAATCATAATTTAATTAAACGATATGCTGGTCGAGGTGATCAAACATTTTTAACAGATCACATATGGCCTAATATTCAAGATCATGTTCTTGCACATGATAGCCATCTATGTACTACATGGTATGGAAAAAATTCTCAACCATGGCCAACACGTCGACCACCGTTAAATGAAACTAGTTGTTTTGTTGGATGTGTACGTCCTTGTTGTCAAAAAATGAAACCTCCATTTGGTGAATGTCCAATAGCCTGTCGACCAAAGAATCATACAGATTGGACAATGTGTTAGAGAATGTTTACTGTATTTTTTTTTTGTTTTCAATTCATAAAACATATCTATCTATTGTCATTATAATTTTTTTTTTGAATAATGATTATTATTTTCAAATGATAGTTTAGTCAGATATTCTAAAATATTTTGATTTTTTAAATCAAGATTGAAATAATTTATAAGTAAAAAGAAAAAAATTTTTATGGTTGAATTATAAAGATTTGTAATTACTAAATTATTTTGCAAAGTACATATATGAATAAAAATAGTCGAATGGATTTATACATTATTAATAATACGTCAATAAAACGTATACGTGTATCATAGGTTCGAACCTATCGTTCGACATTGTCTCCTCAACGCCACAGGCAGGATAGACATTAGTTCACCTGGCCTCTCCAGTTTGTGGAGAAGAAAAAAATTCAGAATGATAGGAAGCTGGAGAGATTTTCTCTATCTCATCTAGTGCCGTTAATTCATACTACATTTATATTTTTTGAAAATTTTCTTCTTTTCTAATATATATCATATTTGATTTTAATCGAACCTATTTGACAAAGTTGATTATTATTTTTTGAAATAAAATAATTTTTCTTTTTTTTTTTTAATTTTTATTTACTTGAAATAATACAAGAAAGATTGTAATCATTATATTTTCTATATCAATAAATGTTATAATAACATATTTCAATATAAATGGAAGACAAAAATATGTAATTGTGTTATTATTATTTCGATGTTTTCGAACGAAAGAAAAAAAAACCAATAAATCAAACCCGTAGGACATGGGAAGAAGAAAAAATAAGTTTTATTCTGTCTATTGAATTTTATATTTTCTGACTCACGAATCGAGGAAGAGGTTGGTTGTTCTTGACATTTTATTTTATATTGTCTTGTGCAATGTTTTTGTTGTTTTATGTCCTTTGACGCATATACTTATCGTTGTTTTTTGTTTTCTTTGCCTTGTAATTCTATGTGAGTCAAGAAATTGCCATATATTCTATTAAATACATATACATATAGATTTTTTCTTGATTGGGCAATTCTTATGTTGATTTTCAATCATATATAAATCGTTTTACATTTATTAATAAATAACAAGAAATAAAATATGCGAAATTTGATAAATACATTTGAAAATTTATCTCGAGAAATTTTACTTGAAATCTTTGACTATCTTTCAATAAATGATTGTTTTAATGCATTTTATGATCTTAATTGGAAAATAAGTTCAACATTAAATTTATGTGGTTTTTCAATTGATTTAACATCAATATCACAACAAACATATAATGAATTTTATAAAAAGACTATTTTTTCAAATTATTATTATCAAATACGAAAATTAAAATTAAGTAATGATTTAACAATAAATTTGCTTGAAAATTTTTTCAATTATTTTCATCTTGATGATTTTAAACAACTTCGATCATTAACATTAATTAAACCATCATATATGACATTAGGTAGTTTGGCTTTAATTATACCTTATCTTAAACAACTTGAACATATATCAATTGATTCATATTCATATCCAGATAATTTTTTTGAATTAGTTACATCAACATCATC